TTCAGCTATCGATCTTTTTTCAGATTTTTAGAGTGAAGAAGATGAGAGAATTTTTATCTGTGTTTGCACAGATTTTGTAATTTTAAGTAGAGACCGTTTGATTTTTAATTGTTAACTAAAATGGTAGTATTGTCTTTTTAACACAAACATACATTGTAATTGTTTTCAAATGGATCATTTTGAAAGTATGATTAAGTGTAAAAGTCAAAATGGAAATAGCTCCCTTTAACCATGTCATTTTTAAAACAGCCCCACTAATTACTCAAACATTTGAAGTCAATGCAACTATTTTCTTCATCGGGATTTTTCATGTATCAATTATTTTTCTTTATATCCCAAAAAAAGAGTGAAATTCTTATGGATAAGAAGATTATAAGCAATCGAATCCTGCATACGGAATAGCTACACCTTCGTCTCATATTATCTCCCTGTTTGTCCGGTGAGAGTGAATTTCCAAGCTTGTCCTCCAATTCATGGCTAATTACTCAGAGGCCCACATTTGCCAGTGCTTGAGTCGCCTGTCGACGCTCCGGCGAAACTCAACGGTGACGATAACGGGAGACCGGCAAAAAACGGGCATGCAGTTTGTGGATGGAGTTTTGGGCCTGGTCCGTGGGCTTCTTCAACTTGGCCTCAAGACCGGTCACGTCGTCTCCATCTCTGCTCTCAACAGGTCGTCTCCTCCTCCTTTACTAACTAGAAGCATGCTATTGGCATTTTTTGAATCTGGATTGAATTTTTTGTTCGAACTTAACGAACAGACCATGTTAAAAGGTGAAGTAGCATAAACTCTTATAAAATGGTCTATGTTTCATCTTTACTCATCGTTGAATTTTATAAAAATGAGCACACGAATTTCAACAATGGTTTATTCAAACAAACCACCATCGCACGTTAGTAAATAAATTCCACTGTGGTTAAATATCGAAATATAGATTAATATACGAGGACTTGTGCTACCTCTCTAACGTTGACCTTTAAAGATAGAATCCCAAATTTTAATATGATACAGAGTTCATTAAGATTCTACGAGCAAATTTAGTCTAATTAATACTAAAAAAAATGATCATGCGAATTTCAAAATTGATCTGTTCAAATAAGCTACCATTTTGTGGGAGCTTATTAAGAGATAAATTCCATCGAATAAAGATGAAAATATAGACCAACTTATACTCCTCTTAATAAGGTTGATATTTTAAAATGAACCCAAGTGTTGACACATTCCTCCCTAAATGTGGAGACAAATTTTGTGTTGACAATCATATTATGAGATTGCATTTTCAAATTTTACAACTATTGTAGCATGAAGTACTATATTTTTTACATTTCCTTTTCCATAATTGCAAAAAAAATAAAAAAATCTCTTTATCCATTGTTTATGCACCAGAATAAAATCCTTACTCAAAAGTCATGGAAAGTGTAAAATGACGGATCCAGAGTTTTGGCATTAATATCGCATTGTCTTCAGATCGGTTTTGGTTCCATCACAGGCAAGTTAACGAAATACTGGTCTAGAATTGGAGTTGTGTGTGTTCTTTTGAATTGATTGGCATCACTACATCCATTATTACTTCAATTTGGAGTTGTATGTAATGGAAATGGATTAAAGGGAAAGAAGATGTTAAGGTTTAGCTTGTTATTGTTGTTGTTGCTGCTCGCATGTGTTGAAGCCATTGTTTTTTATTGGCATCGTTGCAGTCAATGTCATTGCTGTCACTCTGGATCCGTCTAAAGTTGGATACTTTTTAATTGGTCACCGATCTCCTATCCTGTCTGGAGGTCATAAGCCAATCACAAGAAGCGGAAAAAACACTCAAAACATGTTTTTAATTTGAAATTCATCTTCCATTTACCCGATTATTAAGGTTGATAGGATTTTGTTTCAGTGATTTGTATCTGGAGTGGCTGCTTGCTATTGCTTATGTTGGTGGAATTGCTGCTCCTCTCAACTATCGTTGGGTGAGCAACCGATCACTTAATATTAGCCCTCATTTCATCGTCAATTATCACCGATTTTCACTTATAAGGAACACACAGTATGTATTTAAGCATTGAATTGGGGAATTGAAATCAGAACTTCTTGAAAATTGACTCAATAGGATCATTTTTTATTCAGATTCCGAAACCCCAATTTCTTGCCTGAAGATAGCTTTCAGGATGTGTTTTATTCACTAATAATTTGTCTAACTGACAATTGTTTATCTGACCACTACTAATATTTATCAGTTTGCAGAGCTTGGAAGAGGCAAAATTGGCAATGGAGGTTGTGCAGCCAGTCTTACTTGTCACTGACTTGAGCCCGGGTTACTGGCATTCCGAGTTCCACATTGATTTAGTACCATCTCTGCAATGGCATATCTCAATGGATACACCTGTTAATGCCAACTACACTGGGACTGGTAGGTATTCATGTCCAAATTTTGATGAATGGTGAGTAAAAATATTATGAAGACATTTACATGTTTATATAACTGTCTTAAAAAGTACAGATTTAACTACTGAGTTGCTTAAGAAGCCTACTGGAAGATCAGTAAATATCGACTACAATTGGGCACCTGAGAGAGCTGCAATTATATGCTTTACCTCAGGTACAAGTTGATAATCCTCATTCATGTTGTTATTTTTCTCACCTGCTGATGTTACTTTGGCTTTGTTTTGTGCTTCAAATCGAAATCTGACCTAAAACATATTTTTCATAAGAAGTGAAATTTTCTTGAATCAGGTGCTTAAACCCCTTCTAATTTACTTACCTTAATGATATTGGGGGTTTGGAAGCGCCAAGGACCAAGATCCTCAAGCTGAAACCCAGTTACTTCAACCTTTTGTAATACCACATGTTTTCGTTACTAATCTCTTCAACTGATAATTTCCTTTTTCATGATATCCACAGGTACCACGGGAAAGCCGAAGGGAGCTACCATAAGCCATTTGGCTTTAGTCATACAGTCCCTGGCAAAAATTGCAACTGTTCACTATAATGAGCATGATGTACGGTCTTCCTCGAGATTTTTTTTCTCTATTCTCACTCTTCATCTTGAAACTTCAAAAGAATGGCCTACATGAGTTGTAATTAACATTCAAATGCATAAAAGGCGTCCCAGGAATACAACTTTATATCAAAAGAACTGTATTTCCATGATGGATACTACTTTGATCACACAGAAATTTGTTTATTAAATTCTGTGAACTTTTGCAGGTCTATTTGCACACTGTTCCATTATGTCACATTGGTGGAATATCATCAGCCATGGCCATTTTAATGGCTGGAGGTTGTCATGTTATAATACCCAAGTTTGAAGCTAAATTAGCAATTGAATCCATTCAGAAACATCACGTGACTTCCTTTCTCACTGTTCCCACAATAATGGCTGATTTAATCTCCTTTGATAGGTAAAAACAGCTCCCTTTTTTCAAAATTTTGGAAATAAGCAATATTTTTGTTGCATAATGTTTGCACATCCTTATATTTGGAATTACTCTCCTTCCAAGATTGGTGCGTTGATGAGTTAGTAGAAGATAGAAGTGTCTCATCTCCTTTTGTTTTCTAGTTTATTATTTCCCTTTTGGCTATTGGCAAACATAGAAAGAGTTGGGAGGGACTTTGATATCAAGACTTTTGAGTTAATGTTGGATCCTTGACCATTTAACTAAATCTTTCTGGTTTGAGTTTCGTAGTTGTGTGTGTTTTATGTATTGTTTATGTATATTTCTAAACGAAATTTTAACAGGATGAAGGAAACATCTGAACAGTTAGAGACTGTGATGAAGATTCTAAATGGAGGTGGTTCCTTGTCAACGAATCTCATTGAAGATGCCACCAAAATCTTCCCAAGGGCCGAACTTCTTTCAGCTTATGGTGCGTTTCATGATCTATCTTCAAATTTTTAGGTGGTTTTATTTCAAATTGATCTGTGAAGTTGGAAGCATACAGGGAAAGTCAAGAATATGTGGAATTCCCAACGAATTTGTATTGCCCCATCACATATAAAACAATGGCCCATTAGAACAAGTTTTCTTAACAATACTAGCTAGCTTCCTTGTAGGAAGCAAATTACATCTATTCTCCTTCTGACTCGGTTTTCTATTCTTTGATTTTCTGAAGGGATGACAGAGGCATGTTCTTCTCTAACCTTCACGACCCTTCACAATCCAACAACAGATAAACATTACCACCAATTGTCTGTTGCCAAAAAATCCAAATTTAGCTGTCCTGGGGGTGTCTGTGTCGGTAAGCCTGCACCACATATCGAAGTAAGAGTAAGAGTAGAGGATTATTCGAATGCTGGGAGAATATTGACGAGGGGTCCCCATGTAATGCTCCGTTATTGGGATCAAATTCCACCTAAGAGTTCTGATCCAGGTTGGCTCGATACAGGAGACATGGGGCAGATAGATGATTATGGTAACCTCTGGCTCATTGGGCGTGCTAAGGATCGAATCAAGAGTGGAGGGGAGAATATTTACCCTAATGAGGTAAGCATGCCAAAACAAACTTTATTTTCGTTTTTCCCATGGGGATGTAGAAAAATATGACACTGTTCGGATTTTTTTGTTTTGTTTAAAATCGGCATCACTTACAAAAGAACATTATAGTATGTGTCACGGTCTACTATTTCATGACATAGGTAGAGGCAATCCTAGCCCAACATCCAGGGATCTCAGGCACTGTTGTAGTTGGAATTCCAGATCCACGGTTGACAGAGATGGTAGTTGCCTGTATTAAACTAAAAGACAGTTGGCAATGGTCTGATTTAAGTTTTGATCACTCAGCAAAAGACACAGCTAACTCTTTATCCAGCGAGATCCTTAGGAACTTTTGCAGGGAAAAGAATTTGACAGGGTATTTCTGTTCATAAATTAGCATCTCTTCCCACTCGGGTTTAAACACACATTGTTGTCACTCGTTTTTATTTATTTATGCAGGTTTAAAATTCCCAAAAAGATTTTATTATGGAGGAATACATTTCCAACGACGAAGACTGGGAAACTGAGAAGAGACCTAGTCAGAGAAGATATTATGTCTCAGATGATTTTCTCCAGCAAACTATGATTCCATCAAATATTTACACGGCTGAAACCAGAAAATAATTGGCTGCATCAGAGTAATTCAATTTTTTTTTGTATCTCCTCCCTCCCGTGAATATTTTTCTAAACGTCTGTGAACTTTCTTTTTTCAGATTGAAGTTGAGTCAATGGTGAATAAATGATACTGAAATTACACGTCATAGAAGAAAATTAGTGTTATCTTGGGGTTAAGCGTGACCTTCAGAATTTGGGAAGAAGCAATACCCGTATTAACACTAAAAGTTCTAGCAGTTGATCAAAGAGGACGATAATTGACAAGCTGGCTCAGCAAAATGTGAACATTCATACCTGATAAATTAATAACTCGTGCTATTCTTAAGAGTGAAGAAGCTTAATCTACTTGGTGTTGGATTCTCACTTCTATCCATGACAATATATTGTTGAATACTCTGCGCTTTCATTTGGTTCCCCAATCAACTGGTGCCACATGCCTGTGAAAATCTTCAGTGTCTTATCCTCGCTAGTCGACGATTCATACAGAAATTTTGCGCCCTCAGGGACACATATCATGCCCTCACCACCATGCACAATTAGCATAGGTACTTCCAGTTCATGGCAATTCCTCTTTAAATATTCACGAACTCTCAGAAGCTGTAATGCAGAGGCTGCTGTTGGCTTCCCACACGTCTGGCAATTCGGGCTTCTCTCTATCAGCTTTCTCTTCCATTCCTTCTTGTACGACCTACTTGCTGGAGGTTGGGTGATCACAATCCTCCAAGACGGTGCAATGAAAGCAGCAGTCGGGAGTAGCTTCTCGATTGGCCACACAAGTCTGAACTTCTTTGAAATTTCACACATTGCTCCACTCAGTACCAAACCTTTCCATGCAGTCCTTTGCTTAAGGCATACAAGTACTGCAAGTGCAGCGCCTAGCGATTCACCATAAAGGAACGGTGGAAGATTTGGATGATCAGCTCGAGCAGAATTGAAAAAACTAATGCAATCCAAAACCAATGGCTGAATATCAGGGATGTGATCAGGTGAAGCCATAACCTTGTAAGTCAAGAGCACAAACATAGAATCCAGATTTATCCATTGCAACTGCATTTAGTTCAAAGAGCCAGCTACTTTCTGAAGTATAGCATGAATCGTGCAGGCTACCAAGATTGGGTGAAGATTTTCATATTCTGCTCATTCGTTGTGAAGCTTTCTCGGTGGAGTATTCTGTGTTTTTCGTAAAACTTGTACCGGCCGAGGTTTCCATAAGGGCTATTCTCATTAGCTTCATAAATTGGGTGAGCCATTTTTCTTATCAAGCTTGAATTGTGCAGAAACTCTTCAGCCTGGCTTCTGTGTCCATTTACAATGTTATATGATCATAAATCATCCTATGAATATTGTCCTTGATGATCAGCTGGCAACTTATGTTCCCAACCGTCTTCCTGCTGTATAATAAATGGAATTGGAGAAACGTCAAATTTCTATCATTTTAAGTTGTGGATAATTTTATATAACAAAATTTGTCTTTTTTCTAGTAATGTGGAAAAGAGTTGTTTCAATGAGATTATAATAAATGTGGTAAGCTAGAAATAAGTAATTATTAGTCACAATCCGGCAACTGTCAATGATTTTGAAAAACAATTTCGAGAATATCAAAGCATAATTATAGTTTGCCAATTGATGACAATTCTTTAAATAGGATCGTTAGTTATTCAAGGTTTCATGTGATAAGATTATGTTTGGATTGAATTATGTTTATGTTTCGAGAATAATAAAGATAATGACGGAGATTATATATAAAGTCGTAGTTTTACAAAGTCGACATGCAAACTCTACAACTTTATCAACCACAAATTATGATGCAACAACTTTAGCTTGTGATGGGGTACAAATTTTATTACTAGATACTGGTTTGATGAAGTAGATGACAGAAATACAATTAAATGGTGGTATCTGTAAATGTACGGACCTTTTTCTTCTTTTATTTTTTGGGAGTTAGGCGTAACTTTTGCCTTCAGTGTGAAATTGGTCCTTAGTTTATTGCTTGGCATGGAAGTTCTGAACCTTTGTGGCTTTGGTATGCAATTAGGAAAAATTGTAGCTAGGTCTCAAACCTCTGGAAAATGTACATATTGGGTCCTAAACCTTTAATTGATACTATTTAAATATCATTATAGTCATGTCAATTAAGAATTGTAGAAAAAAAAAGGTTTAAAGTATCGTGCTCGTAATTGCTTTATGATAAACAAAAAACATAAAAACTATGATAAACAAAAAACGTAAGGACTTAGGATTGAAAATTTATGAGAACCAAATCGATGGAATCAGAAAGTTAGGATCAAGAACCAAAAAGTCAGAAATTAAAAGTTGGTGTCGTCTTTTAACTACCCCGAGCAGCCTAGTTAGTACGTTAGAATGAGATATTTCCAATATTTGGTAAAGTTGGATATGGATCGAGCACGCCAATTATAATGGATTGGGTCTTGAATATTCTACAGTTTAATTCTTTGCGAATCTTCTTTGAGAACAACCCTCGAATATTTAGAGAGATGTGAGCTGCCCAGGAAGAATGGCTTATATATTACCGATGGATAAGCCTCCTAATTTCCTTTGCCAGTCTTGAACCCGATCTTGTGTTCTTTCTTCAACTTGTTGCTTCACCCCCAAACTGTAATATACGACTAACCTCTATCTCATTATTACTAGACTTACTCGGACATGTGACAAAATGGTGAAAATAAAAATAAAAAAATCTCTTTTTGTTGAGAAAGTACGAAGAAGGGGAATTTATTGTACCCAATCCATGTCACTGTCTCAGAAATCCATTAAACAATAAAGTTTATGCTACCTTAGCCTCCCCATTTGAATCAAGAAATTCCTTCCCCTAAATAAAAGGAAAAAACATTTATCACGTTTCAACTATTTCCACGAAAAAACAGACTATATTTCTTGGACCCTTCATGTTTAACATTTCCACCAATTAGGCAAGAATGGTTTACCCAAGTGGGAGTAGCACTCAATTGTAAAATATGGCGAAAACAGTTTATTTAGTCTTTTACCTACCAACCTGGGACCCCAAATTCCCTTTAGTCTTTTGCACTTCACCAGCATTTATATATATGCACGGATTTTAATAAGCTTCATTGCATATATAATATACTAGCTCTAGAAATGGTACCTGGGAGTAGACTGCCGCTAATGATTCATCTACTAATAGTATCAATACTCTTCCAACTACAAGAAACAGCTGCAGCCTCCTTGGCATTGGATGGCTGCCAAAGCAAATGTGGAGATATAGATATTCCTCATCCATTCGGCATAAACAAGGGTTGCTACCTTGATTTGCAATTTGAAGTCATATGCGATGATGATTCTGCCTCTCTAGTTGACTTCAAAATGAAGTTACAGCACATCTCCATATCACATCACCATGTACGGGTTTTAAATTTCCCAGTTCTAAATATGACTTTCAATAGATCATCAGGAGAAAGTTTGAGAGTACAGCCTACTCCTGAATTTGATTTTAGACGATTCAGTTTGTCCCACACGGAAAATAAGTTTTTTGTAGTGGGCTGTGATTTGTATGCCTATGTTGTTCATAATACAACTAAAGAGTTCATCACAGGATGTGGATCTCTCTGCAACCGTGCTGACATAGTCAGATCCACTTCGTCTTGCTCGGGCTTTCGTTGCTGCCAGTCAAGTTTACCAAAAGATTTCTCAATTTTTAGTTTGTGGGTTAATAAAATAAATACCTTGGAAGACTCCTGGCCATCAGATCGATGTGGCTTTTTCTTTTTTGCAGCCACGGATGTGCCAATTGACCATTACAAGAATTTCTCTGCTTGTAATGAAAGACATTTTGTCCCTGTAGTCTTTAACTGGACAGTTGGAAACACCACTTGCAGCAATGCCAAGAAAACAAATGACTATCGATGCGGCCAGAATAGTAATTGCTATGACAATGATGGAAGTAGGGGATACAGATGCATATGCAATCCAGGCTACCAAGGAAATCCTTATCTCCCCAAGGGATGCGAAGGTAAAATATCTTTTATTTCTTCCAAGACTCGTCCCTTCTCCTCCATAAGCCCAAACTTTGATTTAGTTATAAACGCATAGAGAATGAAAGAATGGAATTGAGTAAAATGTTAATATACTCAACCTGTAAATTTTGTTTGTTTTAATGCCACTAGAATGGATCATAATGGGAGCATGCTCAAAAAGCACGAGTCATAGGTCACGGTCAAATTGAAAAAACAAACTGCCCCAAATCAATTATTCAGAACAAATTCACTTCTCTGTCTCATGACAACATTAAATTTCCAGAAAACATAATCATTACTAGCATAAATTTATCCAATTTTGCAGATATTGATGAGTGTATGGATCCCAAACAAAATGACTGCCAAGAGAAAGGCCGCTGCATGAACACACCAGGAAGCTACTATTGCCAACATAGTCGAGTAATATTGACATTGATCATTCCCATAGGTATATCCTTCTCCATTCTTCGTCTTCATTCATTCTTAGAATTCAGCTAATGCTAGTCGCACAAACAGGAGTTGGCCTTGCTGCTGGCCTTCTAATTCTGGCATCTATTAGTCTCTGGCTCTTCCGTAAAATTAAGAAAATGAAAGAGAGGAAAGTTAAGCAAAAACTTTTCAAGAGAAATGGTGGTTTACTACTTCAACAACAGATCACTTCGAGTACAGGAAATGTGTTTCCTGAAACAAAGCTCTTTGCGATCGAAGAGTTGGAGAAGGCAACAGACAAATTCAACAAAAGTCGTATTATTGGCAAAGGAGGACTTGGTACTGTCTACAAAGGAATGCTGTCAGATGGGAGCATAGTGGCCGTAAAAAGGTCCAATATAATTGATGAGAGTCAAGTAGGTCAATTCATAAATGAAGTTTTTATTCTGTCCCATATAAACCATAGGCACATAGTGAAATTGTTAGGCGGTTGTTTGGAGGCTGAAGTTCCATTGTTAGTATATGAATATGTGCCCAATGGCACCCTCTCTCACCATCTTCATGATGAGCCTAACATCTCGACAATATCTTGGGAAAACCGTCTACGTATCGCTGCAGAAATTGCAGGAGCCCTTGCTTACTTGCATTCATTTGCTTCAACAGCCATTTTCCACAGAGACATTAAGTCGAACAACATATTGTTGGATGAGAATTATAGGGCCATAGTTTCTGACTTTGGACTATCGAGGTCAGTATCCATTGATAAGACTCACTTAACAACACTCGTAGGGGGCACATTTGGTTACTTAGATCCCGAATACTTCCAATCAGGGCAACTAAATGACAAGAGCGATGTTTATGCATTTGGGGTAGTTCTTGCTGAACTCCTAACAGGACTTAAAGCCATCTCTTCCAAAAACAGCAATGAAAGTCTAGCACTTTGCTTCCGATATGCATTAAAAGAGAACCGTTTGTATGAGATTCTGGAGAAGATAGTGGCAAATGAAGGTCATGAAGAGGAAATTCTTGCAGTTGCCAAGCTCGCCAAGAGATGTCTAAAGCTAAAGGCACGGAACAGACCAAGCATGAAAGAAGTGGCATCAGAACTTGAACAGCTGAGGAGGACAAGAGAGCATTCGGTTCTTGAAGAGAGTTTTAAGGACAAATACTATTCCATAAGTGAAAGCTCAAGCTCCAACTGTTGCGTTGATGAAATTGCTGCAATGGACGATCAAAGATGTAGGGTACAAACTAGCTCCACTTGAATTTGAAAGTTAGAATTTTCCTTCATATGTTAAAGAAGCTATGACGTTCAACTACATGTGTTGCAATGTCTTGTAATCAAATTTCAAATCTTCTGTAAAAACAACCATTGTTGAGTAGCATGTTCTTTCTTCTTGTCATTCTAAGTATTTCTTATATATATTTTCTGTATAACAGAATATTTTCTTCACAAGGAGCGACTTAAAATTCAACTAAAATCAAAACTTAGCATACCGATAGAGACAACAATAAAAAGAAAACATCCGCAGCATAACGAAATTCAACAGCAAGTAACATTGTAATTTACCTCAACGAATTTGATCCTCTTCTAGGACTCATAGCCGTCAGGAAATTTTTTCATTATACAGCTTCAAACAATTTCCCTAATCCCCTTTAAAAAAGAAAAAAAAAAACTTCTGACCTTTGACTCTGTTATTACTGACAGGGGGGGTAATCCAGGGTCCAACGTCAGCTAGGGCGGACCGTTGACTGTAGGGCGGACTGTTGACCACTGACATTTGACCGTTGACTATCAGAGATCATAATAGCGAGTTCATTTATTAATATTTAATTAAATAATATTAAAAATTCTTCAATTTTTATGTAAATGTACCGAAACGTAAAAATTATATACATATGAAAATATAATTCAATACAACTCAAAGTACTAAACAAATATACGATACAACCTTACTCTATAAATGTGAATTTAGACAACTGCATTATACGGGGTCTTTTACTTTGAA